AAAGGTCGGTTAAATGGGGAGTTAAATGGGGAGTTAAATGGGGAGTTAAATGGGGAGTTTGATGCTGACATCGAATCTATTTCCAAAATTCTTAAAAGTTATGTAATTTTTGACTTATTTCAAAAAATCTGAAATTACTAATTTATTTTTTTTTATTGACAGCTAAACAGTTAATTTGATACAGTTCAAACTATTAGATTATTAATACACTTTTTAATAAATAATATTTTTATAGAAAAACTACAATTTGCCTTTTGTTTGAATTACTTGCAGTAACATTATTATTTCTCAAGGCGGCCCTCTTGGATTTTAATAAAATATTGTTAACCTCAACTATAACTTTTAACCGATGTGCCACAATGACATGCCATCAACATTTTTAAGAAATTCCTTTAAATTAATAAAAAATTAATATTTTCGGTAAATTTGCAACACCGTATTTATCCTAAATAGTATGTTTTGTGGTACACCAAATTACAATATATGATATATAGTCCAAGAGCCCACTGCAAATTTCGATCATAATCTGATGTAAAAATATTGTACTTTGACAAACGACATCTGTGCCAATCACTGTCCTGAGCAAAGTGGTTAAAACAGTTGCACTTCCAGTGTCATATTTAGCGAGAAATGTCGACATTAGATAACAAGATAATAATTATTATCCCGTGGGACAGCCATTGATTAATAGAACTCAAACATGTACCATGCCACCTCATTTCCCAAGCCAAATGCGTGGCAGTGCCTGTTTATTTAGTCAAAATACTCGACAAGCTTCCGTCATGTTATAGCGAGTTAAAACAATATCCAATCGAAATATCTTACGAATATCCAAAATTTAACCTACACTAAGTTGCTGGCACGCGCCTCGCCCCACCTAATTTATTTTAAAATACAAAAAAATCATATCAGCCATGACAGAGGTAATTGTTTGTGTTGAAAATTACAATTCTAATAAGTAATTGTGAACCTATTGTGGTATCCTTGATTTGTATCCCAATTTTATATACTTGTTAACCGACTTACAAAAAGGAGGAGGTTCACAAATCGTCTGATCATAATATAACATTGCTTAACGAGACATCTAGCTATCAGAATTCCTTCACTATCACATTCTTTACTTTCCACAATGCCCACATGTAAGCCGTGTGATTTCTCGCTAAGTCTTGCTGACACGACTGCTTCAGAAATTTGGGGTACTTCTATAACTCTTCTTCTAGGACCTTTATCGGTTGAGTATTTTCTTCCAAATTTAGGACAAATTCTTCGTTTTCAATTACCAAGATCTTGTTTTGAAGGTTAATGATAAACTTATACCAAGGACACACTGATCCTTAATATCGGCTACCAGAAATGAGTGTTCTATAAGGGTATTACCAATCTGTATGGTCGTCTAGAACAGGAGTAGTGTGCCCTGTAGCTGTTTCCAGAACTAAGCTTTTTTGAGTTGGTCTTGGTTTTCGACGCAGAATCCCTGTTCGAATGAAAGACTTGGTTGCACCAGTATCAAGGACGAAGGTGCCTTCTGGGTTATTAATATACTTCTTGACCAATAGATTTTGTTCGTTTTTATTTAAGGTGTAAGTGCAAATTTTGGGGCCTTCTGTTACAGCCGACGCCTGCCCCGTAGTGCCGACCTTTATTCGTTTCTCTGATTATTGTTAGAAAGCCGGCTATGTGTGGATAACCGGCTTCTTCGTGTGGCATATCTGCTGCAATTATTTCTTTTTGGACTTCGTGACGGGCTTTGAGAGGTTGATCTAGGTGAATTTCTGCTTCGACAGGTTCTTTGAAGGTGTACGATTCAAGCATCTTCTGCTCTCATTTTGGCTATTTCGTTGCATATTTTGCAGGATAGTTAAGATTTGTGAGGGTAGGTTAAGGCATAGTATTAGTAGTGGGCTCTTTACTTCCATGAAACTTAATTTCTGTTAATTTTGCGCAAGAAGATCTAGATATACTTTTTGCTGTTTCGTATTCCTGGGCTGCAATCAATGTCTCACTTAATGTCTTGTGGTGTTGTAGCTGCAGAGCCTCCTGCATTTCTACATCCTGTAGTCCATTAATTAATGCCTGCATGCTTAATTGTTCTAAAAAATATTTGGGTGTCTGTGGGTAGGCCAAATGCAGCAATTATATTGGCTTCGAATTCTTGTAGACTTTCATTGTGTTTCTGACTACAAACTTTCAGCTGGGTTTGGAATACTTGTTTTAAATGCTGCTGGCCATATCGTGTCTCTAAGGCTTGGACGAGAGATGAATTACTGGTTTCTTCTTGGGAAAGTAACTGTAAAACGGTTGCTGCCTGTCCTCGCAGTGACACTATCAATGAAGCAGCAAACTCTATCTCGGTCCACTCATTGGTCTAGCTGCAGCTTTAAATTGGAGTTGATATATTTCCCATGTTGTCTGATCGTCAAACGTGGGTGGCTTTAAGGTCTTGCTACTATGGTTTTATGGTTATACATGAAGACGAGGTAGTCATTTTCAGCTTCATAGTTGTTTACTGAACCTTGGCTGCGAATTATTTTTTCTAACTCAGCCATTTCAGCTTTAATTTGTCTTTCCAACTCTACTCTAGCATGTTTTTGTTGTTCTAAATTATCTTTTAAATTCTCTTGCTGTTTCTCTAAATTATCCTTCAAATTATCTTGCTGTTTATCTAAATTAGCTCTTAAATTTTCTTGTTGATGTTCTAAATTAGTCCTTAAATTTTCTTGTTGTTGCTCTAAACTAGTTTTTAAATTCTCTTGTTGTTGTTCTTAATTCGTTTTTAAGTTTTCCAAATTAGTTTTTAGATTCTCTTGCTGCCGTTCTAAATTGGCTTTTAAAGTGTCTTGTAGTGGTGTTAAGAGATCTACTCGGCCGTTTAGCTGACGTACCTCTTGCTTAAGGTTTTCTTGAATTTGCAGCATACCATTCATAATTTCTACCTCAGCTTTTTTACGCATCTCTTCCTTCTTTGTCTTTCCTGTGCCCTTTCTTTTTCTTCCTGTGTCTTTCCTTGTCCTCCTCTTCTTCTTTCCTGCGTCTTTCCTTTTCCTTCTCTTTTTCCTTGCTGCATCTTTACTTTTCCTTCTCTTTTTCCTTCCTGCGTCTTTCCTTCTCCTCCTCTTCTTCCTTCCTGCGTCTTTTCTTCTCCTTCTTTCTCCATCTTAAAAAACCGTGCTGGGGGACCTAAAGTATCCTTGCCTGTTTCGTACTCAGTATATCTGGTATAAACTTCTGTTTTGTATCCTACCGCTGTCACCAATGTTGCGCAGTTTTTTGGTATCTCAATTTATTCCAGCACAACTTTTACAATAACTATCAACTGATAATATTAACATATAACGTCTATCATAAAACTCCCCCTCTAACGTCAGATCGTCGACTTATATAGCTCGCCTTAACCTTCTAGATATTTCGAGACATTTTTAGACTATTCTATCTTCTTCATTTACTCGTACTTTTACTTATAACGACCGCAGCACACTGTAGGATGATGGGTGACATTGCACCTCTTTCTGTATTTGTATGTTTCCTATAACAGCCGCAGGCTACTACAGGGTGCAGGGTAACGATATCCTTTTTTAATTGCAACACCCTGTATTTTATATTAGAATACAATTCCTTATAAATTTATCTCTACAACGATACCAACATGTTAGCCAATAACACATACACAGGGTGTCCCATCAGTGCCTAATTGATCGTTAGCTGTTTCATTGAAGGAAATACGAAGAAATTTTTAATATAAAAGTTGTATGGCCATATTTAATAATTATTCCTAAATATACAGGGTGGTCCATAAACACGGTGCTGACCAAACCTATATGTTTTTAAAGCATGTAGTTATACATATTTGAGTGTTTTCATATCGTCAAACAATTGTAATTGACTTAATTCATTTACTATGTTGTATATACGGTTTGTCAAAAATATTTTATTAATTTTTTTAATTAAAATACTCTGTATTAATTAATTGGTAGATAACATATTATTCTAAAATAAAAATAAAATACAGAGTGTTCAATTTTAAAAATATACATTTTTATTTGCCAGGCAATAAAGCAGCACCCTGTGTATCCAAAAATATATGTTAAATACGTATTTTTTAAATCCATCTAACTTTTATTTAAAACTTGTTTGCGTAACACAAATTGAAATATTGAACAATTACGTACTAATGGGACACCCTGTATAACTGGTGGCGCAAAGCATACTCTTCATACCCAGTCAATGTACCTGACAAAAATTAGAAATCTTTAAATTTACTCATCGATCTAGCATCGTCAAATATAGATTGATTTTAAAGTGGTTTTAACCAATAGGTGGCGCTAATTCTACTCTTTCGGACAATAACATAATGGGTATTCTAAATGTTGAGTAATGACGCGTTGCGAATAGCATCGCTCACGCACCACAGTGTTTAGGGGGCGTGACTATACTCGCTCCCCTCAAGAAGTTAAAAAACAAATTCGGGGATTTTGATTTTTTTTTTAAATAAGTCAAAAACTATATAACTTTTAATGATTTTGAAAATAGATTCGAAATCAGAATCAAATTCTCCAAACATTTTTCCCATTTAACTCTTTTGTATTAAGCGAAATTTCAATATAGAGACTCGAATTTGGGACACAGTGTATTTATAATAATGAATTCCATTTTTTGCCATCTATCCCTATTTTTTTAAGAACGGGATAACCATATGTAAGTTTAATCTCTAACTTATTTAGAAACCAAGAAAAGGTCTTTTAAATATAGATATATTTTTTACTCAAGCTAAAGTTTAAATTTCAGATAATAACCTTTGATTGTGTTGAAATTATTAACTGTTTTGCAAAAGTACATCTAGCTATAATTTTATGAGGAGAGTAAAATAAGCCAAATATTTACATATATTTTCTTATTTCTATCCTTATTCTCTTAAAAATAATATTATTATAATATTTGCAAATAATTGTCAGTTAGGTACTGCTTCATAAAATTATTTTTAACATAAATTTAATTTTTAACAGATCACCAATTTTTCCACAAATGGGCTCTCCTTACCGACCCCGATGATATAGCAGGAGGTCCCAAAGGATATCTAAAATGTGACATTAGCGTTATTGGGAAAGGCGATTCCGTTAAAGTGCCGCCAAAAAGTGAAAAAGACGAAGATGATATTGAAGCGTAAGTATTTTAAATCAGTAAAATTCGTACCTGCTTAGGGGTTGCAGTTATCACAATGGAAATAAGTAAATCAATTTGACGTTATTTTAGGAAAAAACTGTAAAATAATAATGGATACATACAAATTACAAATTGAGAAAATAACTAAATTTAAATTTAATTTATATTGTAATGATTGAAAAAAAGTTGAAAATAATCTAAATATCTGGTGATTAATCTTCCCGAAGATATAGTGTAAAAACTAGTTTTTTTACTAATTTAGATTGTTATTTCCAATAAAATAATAGGGATAGGGCAGCACTGTCACTAGTCTTTTAATAGAAAAACTAAGAACTAATTTGTCAGCATAGTCCTCCTCTTATACCCCTACCTTCAAACGTTCAGGAACAAGTTATCGTACTTTGTTATTTATCTATTATAGGTATATCTGTTAGGAGAATGGGACTAAAGAATGATTTATTTTTCCAAGCAACGAAAATTCCAAACAGCCTATAATAAAAACTCGATTAAAAATATTTGTGAAGTCAATTTTAGATAAAACTTTAGGTAAGAAACATGTCATAACAGTTTAAATAGTATATGTCATTCACATTTATTTTAAATAAGACGACTATGAAAGTTTGACATATTTTAGTATGTATAATATTCTTCATTATTATTATTTTTTTTTTAATAAAGATCGTAAAGAATTTCCTCATCGTAGGCCATGGTTCAAAATGAAATATTTTGCAAATATTGCTTCAGATAAGGTAAAAATGGTAAAATAATATCATATAAATAAAGAGTTCCTTGGTTTATTCGGTAAAGAGTTTTTATTTTTTATAATTTAAATAGTACATATGTTTCGGAATTTTTTTTCATCTTTTGGTGCAGTCAATATTTATAAAATTATGAAAGTTTTAAATTTTTTTAAAATTATAGAATCCCTATCTTTCTAAAATAATAGTTGTTTATAGTTTTACAATTTTTTTCAATACGAAAAAATAAGAATAGGTATATCCTTAATTTTAAAATTTTTAAAAATACGTTGAAATTATAAATTAAACTGGTTTATTGTAAAAAGTCAAGCAAAATAATAATTGTTTTTTAAAACTATAAAATGCATATTAACATTGATAAAATATTATAAAGTTTAAGGAAAAAAAATCGTATTAATCTATTTTATGGATAAGCCGAAACACATAACTATCCACCCTTTTTTATCTGGAACGAGTCGTACTACGGGACATCAGGTAGCTATAATCCCACCGAATTTCTAGAGAAGGCTCCAGGTCGCACAGGTTAGGTAACTTCGTTGAGTATTTTTACAATATATGTATAATTTATTGCGATGCAGCTTGCAAAGTCTCCAGACCGCACAGGTTATGAAAATAGGTTTTTTGTTATTTAATAATACCTACCTGATTTCCATTTTATGGTAAAACTTAGTGGTCAAACAGGAGTAACCTTTTACGGTGCCAGATTAAGTCAGATAAGCGTGGTGTAACTCGGTAGTCTCATTTTTTAAGTTTACCGAATTTCAATAGGCCTTCTTAAGGTTCCTTACCCGAAGGGTTACTAATGGGACCCTATTACTGAGCCTCCGCTGTCCGTCCGTCTGTCTGTCAGCGGGCTTTATCTCATGATCCGTAATAAGTAGAAAGTTGGAATTTTCACAGAATGTGTAGGTATTTCTGTTGCCGCTATCACAACAAATAATAAAAATAAATTAAAAATTAAAGGGGCTCACCTACTAGAAACGAGTTTTTTGGCTTTTTTTGCTCAATCTTAATAAAGTATTTAAAAAGTACATATATAGTATTAAATTTTGTACGAAGGTGCGGATCCCTTCATGCGCAAGTCCTACTCGCAGTTGGCCGGTTTTTTATTATAAATATCACATATTCAATAATTATTTTTTATGCTATTTTAGGAAGAATCTCAAAAAATACCTTTTAGAAATCTCGAGAATAAATTTGACTCAAATTCAAAGGTATAACCAGCAGATATATCATTCAACATTTTTTATACATTGGACAATTTATAAATTTGTTATTAAGAATTAATATTTTCAGGCAGACTATAACAAACAGGTAATCGTGAATTTAAAAACAGGTCGAATTTTGGTCAGAAAAAGATCATTTGAAAAAAATAAGTACCCCGAAATAAATCTAGAAAAACGTCATATTATTGATATTCAATTCTTCATGCAAAAACCAATGGACCTAAATAATCTTGTACCATAATTTGGTTGTTCAGTAAATAGTTTAATACTGAGAAATTCTAAAAATATGGAGAAGTTAAAAAAGTTTTATCTGTACTGTATGCTGCCTGAATTGGTAGATCCAACGCATGACCGGGGAATGTCATTAAGAGAACCTGATTATATTTTAGAAGCTATTCAAAAAATAAAAAAATAAAAATAATTACCTCAAAAAAGTAAAATAACATTAAAGGTACTTCACTAATTATTAGTGAACCACCTTTAATGTAGTAACTACTACTATAGTAATGTTTATGTCAATTGTTTCAAAATGTATCTATAAAAACCGCTATTTAAAAACAAAAATAATTGATAAAAGCTTCTAAAAGTATTTTCCTTATTATTTTTCATTAAAATCTAGGTACTATTAAAACATTCTAATACCTATATTTATTTTCAGGTAGTGTTGTGACTAATTTATTTGTATTATTGGGTCCAAATTAGTCAAATGCCCTACTAATTACAAAAATAAAATAAAGTTATATTATAATTTCTTATAAAATTATATTATATCTAAAAATAAAATATATCCGATATACAGGGTTCATAAAATATCACGCAACTTCTGGCGTTTGTCTGTTCTTTTATATTATTCAGATATTTTAAAAGCAGAAACTCATAAGCTTACAGGGATTTGAGATAATAACTGAGAATAATTTGCATACCTCATTCCAATCTGTTTATAAGATCATTGAAGTCAAAAAGAGAAAAGTTATAACATATCCATGATACTATAGAAAGAAGATATTATATTACACCGATTGATACTACTTCACGCCGACATATTGTGGTGATCGAAAACGGCGCTCGAAAATAAATTTTAATCAGTTCATGGCCAATCATCCATATTCCACACCACAATACGTCATGCGTAAACTCGTATCATGTAATATATCTCAAAGTTGACAACAATAAAATAATGATTACATTATTCAACGGCAGCATCTTAAAATTCGGATCAATCAAAGCCGGAGAGTAACAAAACACAACGGTTCTGTTTACTCAGTTAGTTTTTAAAATCTTAATTATAATCTTTTTTGAGTTTCAACCAGTACAGTCCGAAACAATGTTGAATGTCATTTTCTTATAGCATAAGTTACGATCATACGTCAAATAATGTAAAATAATATATTTTATATATTTGTGTAGAAAAAAAATTAAGTCATCTTCTTTCTTTATTTATTCCAAGTTAAAAAGAAGAGATTTTTCTTCTAAAAATTATTAGATCATTACAATAGCAGACAGAAACAAAATCAAGAAAAGCTTGTAAGAAAAACTAAGTATTTTCTCCACGTTTCATTCATAGATAAGTCAGAGAACATGTAAATTAATATATTATGAAACATTTGTTAAATACATTATTTATAAGGCTGATTTATAGGTTTTATTATTTTAGTAGCTTAGTTGATATTCTTGGGACAATGATTTATTTTAGAAAATATATACCCATTATATAAATATATTGCTTCGACCTAATTTTTTCTAATCAAACTATTTTTTAAATATACTGAAATATTGCAAATTCTGTATTAAAAACAAAATTATTTCATGTAATAAATATTCCCACTTCGCACCATCGAGCAATTCTAAATTTCAAATCTATCCTATATGTATCCCTTATTCCGTATCTAGTCCTTTTTTAAAATATTTATTAAACTTCATGTTTTATTTTTTTTTTGACCAAATGGACCATTTTTCAAAAAAGTATGCTAACCCAGGGTTAGTGCTACTTATTCTCTTTGCACAAAAAAAATGGTATTATCTTTAAACTTGTATCTTCTAGGATTAAACCAGAATGCCTATTATTTATACAAATTTCTTGTTATTGTCAGCGGACCAATAACTCTTAATAGCATCTTCAAGCAGTTTTGGCACCTGGATAAAGACTTTGATAGTCCTTAGGGATAGGAACGCCAAAGCTTCACAATTACTCTGAGTATATTTCATATCTGATTTTGGAGAGGATTGAGAGAATAATAAGTAGGCAATCGATCGACTAAGAATGAATAAACATTAACAAATTTTAAAAAATATAATACAATCAATATTTTATAGAATAATAAAATGTATTGAACTTAAATGTAAGTCATTGCTTAGTGTAATAATAATAATAATTGTTCGGTTTATTTTAGTACGTTACTTTTTAATTCAATTTTTATTTAAATATTTATAACATTTAAAATTTTTGGGAATTTTTTTATTCTTCTACTAATAATAATAATGCTAATTATTATAATAATAGAGGTATCAAGTCGTAACTCATTCAAAAATAAAATCGATTTCTATATTTTTAGTAAAAACTAATTATTTAAAAAATTTGTTTATTTTTTCTGTTTTTTTTTTCTTCTTTTCTACATACTGGTTTTAAGTATTATTGTGTACATTTTTAAATATTTCACCTAATTTTATTATTCTTATCTAATATGGGCATAATAAAACCTTTGTCTTGCCCTGTTGAGCAGGCGAATAAAATGGCTTCACCTGGACATTTACCATCGGGGTGGTAGAAGCCGACCAACTAGTCGCTTTCCAAAAATGGACTTACTTTGGCAAGCTGAAATTATGGCTGTCTGTATACACCGCTTTTCGTCACCCAGTAGGTTTTAACAACTTAAGAGGCAGGTTCTTTATGCCCTGGATGATGCACAATGGGAATTACAAGGCCCAAGTGCTATGGGAGAAACCTACCTTCCCCACCTTACAGATTTGTGATCTGCCCTTACCATATTTATAATAATAATTAATTTCTAGATCGCAC